ATCGGCTAATAAAATTGATTTAAATGGCGGCTATTATTTAAATTACGGCTTATTTAATAATCAAAATGTAAAATAATTATTTTTTATAATTTTTTTTCTACCATTAAATATTGCAACTATGTTTTGATTGCGCTTATTCAATTATTTCGTTTGGCAAATGTTTTCACAAAAAATAATATACACCTACGAAAATTATGAAATCGTCAAATAATCAAAATATATTAACATTTTTTCTACCATTAAATTTGGCAGCATTGAATGTTGCCCTTTAAATGTGAAGTTTGTTACATTTTAGATAATAATTTTGTCTTAATCTCAGTTAGATATAAGATAAATACCATTTTATTTGTAAAATTAATAAATCTGCATATAACGTGTAATTGTATGCCTATATTTTTTTTATGGTAACTAAAAAATAATAATATTTTTTGAATCTTTTGTACTCAAATTACTTAAAAATAATAATAATAATAATAATAATTTGAAATCTTATGTACTCAAATTTTCAGGTACCGTCGTAATCATGTCAATATTTATTTTATATATACTATGTAAATTTTCTATCAAAAACTTTATAATGTCTTTATTTAAAATCATAATATTATAGATACTTTTATATAATATTTTATCATGTCATATACTATCTATATATACAAAAACATATACACATATACATATACATATTAAATTTAAATGTTTTTAACAATGTTTTCTTTACAAAAAGAAAAAAAAAAAGTTTAGAAAACATCTTGCATGCAAAAAGTGAAAGTTAATGTTTTTAGACATGTTTTTTTCTTAGAAAAGTTATAGGTGATTTCACATATTTTAATAACACTATAAAAATTTTGGATATTTTTACATATGTTAATATAATATTTTAAGTGTTTGTAATATTTTAAACATACAAATTTTATGTTCTCTTGTACAAGCTAATTTCAGATTGTCTACAATAAATTGATATACGGTAAATTATATCACATGTTAATGCCACATCTTTAATTTGTTTAACATCATCTTTAATTTATAATACTTTTTTTTTTTGCTCTTTTAAGAAAGGATGGTTTCCCACTTCTTTCACTGGGTGACTCGAACTCCAGACCTATTTATAATTATTATTTAATATTGTTTATTCGTGTATCGCACGGGATACGCACTAGTTAGGCTTGAAATTATACATAAATATATTGAATATTTATAGCCATGAGCGTTAGTTGTGTTTTAGAAAAGTTTCCTATTTGTGATTTATAAGGAATGAAATTTTGCCTGTATTTCTTTTTCTCTCATTTATTTTTTAACTATACTAATTTTGTAAATTGTAAATATATTTAAAAAGTTAACTTTATTATTATTATTATCAGTTTTTCATATAACATATCAAATGAATCATTTCTCCATTATACAATATATGATAATGTAAATAAATAATTATATCTCTGGCATCTTTGAATGATAAAGTAAATAAATAATTATATGCACAATAACAATACTCAAAATCGACCCATATAGATTATATATGATCTTGTAATTACATATAAGAATGACTATAGTGTGCTACAATTTTCAAATGTGAAGTTTAACAGTAAGTATAATTTTAGATAAAGATTATAAAATATTTTCCATCAATTTACAGTAAGTTGTTGATTGATGGTTTAGATAATAATTATAAAACATTCTATCCAATATAATAATTTAACAATGAGTTTTTTTTTTTTTTTGGTTACAAAGGGATAGGCCAACGCCTATCGGTTTAGTTGCACACGGTCCGCGTATAAGCTACGTCAATAAAATCATGGTGGAGCCACTGACGAACTCTATCCGACGGATCATGTAAGAAATGATATCCCAACGATCTATCCGTAGCGAAGAAAGCCAAATGATCAACTGCAAAATTCGCTTCGCGAAATATATGTTTCACTATGACCTTCTAAGGTCGAACAGTAATTCTTTTATGCCCAGCACTTGGCCTATGTGCACCCCTGCTGCATCATCAACAATGAGTTGTTGAATGACGGTTTAGATAATAATTATAAAACAATCTATCCAATATAATAATTAAACAGTGATTGTTAATTGAATGATGGTTTAGATAATAACTATAAAACATTCTATCCAATATAATAATTATAAAACATTTTGAGTAATCTATACTTATATTAAAAGTCATCCTATTTACCAAAAATAGTAGCAAAAAAAGTCAACTCACATTTAATGCATACTTTATTTAGAAATTTTTTACTATATGCATTAATTGCTTGATATATACATTTCCTATTCAAATATGATCAAAAAGATTATTTCCTTAAATAATTTTATTGACTTCTACAATTATTTTACTGATATATATTATAATTCATATTTGTCGATTGTAAATTTTTATTTTTATTTGAGTATATAAAAAACAAATATTTTTTTTAAATTAATATTTTATTTATCATTTAAGAGATAATGATCACATCATTAAATGATATTACTGATGGCTAGATAATAAATTAAAATACATTATTCTTTAAAATTTTGGCATGTTATTTATTTGTATCTATACTTATTATATAAGGTATCCTATTTACCAATTTAGTAGATTGAAAAGTCAACGTAATTAGTGCATTGTTATATCAATCCAAAATTTTATTTAATTGTTTTATTTATTTGTCTTATATCCATAAAATCAGTTTAATAAAAAAAATCCCAAAACATCTGACAAGTAAAAAAAAAAAGAAGTAAAATCTTTACTAAAATAAAAGACTTTATTTATTTGTCTTATTCCATATTAACATCAATTTTGTCAAAATAAATCCCATAAAATCAGTGAAGTCAAAATTTGTACGTAAAGTCTATCTATCCAAAAAAAAAGTTAGATTCAAAATTTCTTATCCAATTTCTTCTTTTTCTTATCTAATTCCTTCTTTTCCTTATCTAATTCCTTTTTATTATCTAATTGTATGAAAATTTGTTCTGATTTTATTCAATCTTATAATTGTATTTGTATTATATTCTATAAATTCGGTTTAACAAAAAAAATCACATGACATCCGATAAGTAAAAAACAAAATACGTAAAATCTTTACAAAAATAAAAAGGTTTTATTTATTATCTAATTTATTATCTAATTGTATGGAAATATGTTTTGATTTTATGGTACGTACCAAATTGTGCACCTGTGTTCAGGAGCTACTTAACGGGCAAGCTCTATGGAAATAACTCATTTAGTGCTTTTGTCTCGTGCATACGGTATGTATTTTTTTACACATACTAGAAAATTGTGCACCCCGTGCATCGCACGGACTCTATACTAATAAATGGCCTTAAAATTGTGCACCACGTGCATACCCCGTATTCACATTTTGGCCTATTACAGGTCACGTACTATATATATCCCGTACATTTTTTTTATTCATTTATATAATTATAAGAATGATAAATTACCTCAAAGTTGTGCACCCCGTGCATCGCACGAGCCCTGTACTAGTGTAAGTTGTGAATGATGGTTTAGATAATAATTATAAAACATTATCTCCAATAGAATAATTATAAAATATTTTCACTAATGTGCATAAGTTAATTTTTATAAATAAAAAAGTTTAAGAATGAAGATAGTATAACGGTAAACTTAATTTTAGAGATCGTATTTTGTAGTGATTGAATTTTTTAACAAAAATTAATAATTTTTGTAAAAAAAATTATGTCAATAATATGCCTTTCACTCGTTTTGAACTATATTTATTATTTGATTTTCATTTGGATTAAGTTGTTATTTAAATAAGTTGCTAAATAAGGTTGAATTGTTCAAGTTAGCCATCTATCTTATACTATTTTGAATGATGGATTTGATAATAATTATAAACATTATATTTAATATAATAATTATAAAACATTTTCACTAATGTGCATAAGTTTATTCTTAATGTCGATTTATTAATTTTAATTTTGATTAAATAAATAAGTTGTGGTTAATTTTCATAAGTAAAAAGGTTTATAATCGTGAACTTTAATACTTATCACTCATAATTCATGCAATTAATTATCAAAATTTATCAACATTTTGAGAATTACAAATAAAAACAAACTAGTACGACACTGGTGTACTACATGGTATTTGTAAAAAAAAAATATATAATAATATTTATATTCTTATTATAAAACCATAAAAATAAATATATAACAACTAATGAATAACTTATAGAGAGATAACAATTTAATATACTACATGTTTGTGTGCCTTACATTGTAAAAAATATTATTATTTTAACTAAATATATAAAATCTTCTATATAAATAAAGAGACAACATATTTACCAAAAATAGTAATAAAAAAAGTCAACTAGCATTTATTGCATTCTATTTTTGCCAGTTTTTTTTAAATTATTTCTAAAAACCAATCAGCTATATATTCACCACAAATTCATTGTTTTGTGGATTTAATTTAAGTAAATTTCGACTGATGCTTACAATTTTGCAAAAGTCAAAATTATTTCTCGTATTTTATTTTAGAAAAAAAAAATAATTACCATAAAATCAAAATTTTTGAATTAGGCAAAATACTTTCACATATATCTTTTACTAATTACAACAAATTAATTGTTTATTAAAAATCAGATTGCATAGAAATCAGTTAAATTATGTAAAATTCGGCATGAAAATTTTGTAAAAGTGTAAATTCTCTCATTTTTTATTAGAAAAATATGTTTATCATAAAATCGGGAATTTCGAATTAGACAAAATACTGTAACATGTATGTTTACATAAATGTATCATATCATGTTTATTAAAAAAAATTAGTTTTCATAGAAATCGGGTCCAATTTCAAATAGAAAATTAAAATCTAAAAATCCTCTATCATTTGCTTATTACTTTCTTTAGTTTGGATTTATTTTAAATATAAAATAGAGTTAGGTAATATTAGTTTGCAATTCAAGATGAAATCAGATTAGAACATCCAAAAAAATTGGGTTTTGTTTAATTCTTTAAAATTCAAATTTGAAATTGAATGCATACACTTACAAATATTATATATAT